AGCAGACGAGACTAAGTTGGAATGCCTGGAAGCACCATTAGTAAAGGCAGTTTGGCAGGACTCCACTCGTGGCAATGGGAGGGGACATGCTGTGCCTTCAAGCGTAGTGTACTCTAGCGCTGTAGCTTTTTGGAAACTCAGGGAGGTTGTAGTAGCTGGGTTGAGTGGAAGATTTTCTCTGAAAAGGAATCAGAAGAGAAGCCGGGGATGAGGCAGCTTTTGGATGGAAAAGGAATGTTAAGAAGGTAATGGGCATTCTTCACAGCTGTTAAAAAATAGCTAAAGGCTTCGAATTTATGGCAGGCACTCTGGGTTAAGGTACACAGAATCAAGTACATATATTATAGTAAGAACTAACTGTGGTCAGCAAGTGATGGGATGGAGAGGGCAGAACAGGTCAGGGATGAAGCTGAATTAAACCTTTTACATCTGGTAGATTCTGAGGAGGGTCCTATTGAAGAACTTGTCAAAATGGAAAGGCAGAGGTGAATAGTCAGAAGATGAAGGTGAGATGAGACTTTAAAATGTCAAGTCCAAACCAAGGAATGAAATCAAATGCAGAGTTAAAATAATCAGGCCAAGATCAGTGTCCAGATCCCCCATCCATGCAGAAGGCCACATGCAGACCTCTCGGCTGAGATAGAGGAGCAAGGCCCGGTGCTGGGGGTAATTTAACCGGGCACCTCCCCCGCCCCCTCACCTGTGGTCTTTGTTGGTGGTGAGACTGAGGTCAAAGGTGTTTGCTTGCAGGGTGCAGAGGTGCCCCAAATCAGTGAAATGCTGTGGCAGGAAATGGGTGGCAGATCGCCTACTAGAGCCTGGGGCAAGTAGCCAGTGAGGCATGGTGATAGACACTGAGACTGGAGCTCTGGTTCCAAGGGATCAGGGCCGACAGTGCTCACCTCAGTGTACTGACCTCTGGTCTCTCATCCTTCTCGAAGGTTTGGGAAGATGTCTCCATCACACTCAAGTGCAGGAGGTACTCAGGAGATGGCCCTGAAATGTAGTGACTCACCTTTGACCACTAGCTCTCTTGCTGAACTGTCTGAGGTGTCAGTTGTCCTCCTGTGAGAAGGAGAGAGTGGGGACAAGGGGATGGAGAGAGGAGATGGTAGTGTTTCCCAATATTTTCTCTATGGAAATGGGGGGAAAGGGTTACACATTTTCTTCATGATGTAACCTGGAGGAGCTAGATTTAGCAGCTGCCTGAGCTGAGGTGCTACCGATAAAATTTAAGAGGCTCTGGTGAAGGTGAAGGAGCTAAAGAGTGGCCTCTGAAGAAGAAAATCACTGTGACCCTTTGCAGTAGCCCAGCTGGACAGCTTGGTTTCTCTGGGCCGCTTCTACCTTCTCTTGATTGACAAGCAAATGCCATTCCCACGCCTTGGTCTGGCCTCCCAGTCACGTCACAGAATCTAAACCCTGCCTCGGTTACATTCTACCCACTCTACCCAGAAATGTCCTCCCCTGCTTGTCTCTCAAAGGGATTTACTCATACCAAGGGTGTGGCACTGCCAAGGCCATCTGGTTTATATGGCCATTATGTTGGCATTGCATCTATTAGAGGGATTCGGTTCTCATGACAGCATGTGGGGCAAAAATCTCATCTGCTCAAAATATTCTTGAAAGTCTTTTAAAGCCTTAAACTACAAGGTGTGTTTCCCCCCCCCCCCAATGTATACACATTTTAACAGCTGGTAGCTCAATTTTGAAAAAGAAACGTGTTTTAATAAATACTGCCTTTATAATTATTCAACGTGTGTGTATACATTTTGGGGGGAACACTCTATATATGCAACCTGGCCTACTAAATTATAGGTATCTAATGCATGTAGGGATGCAGAATATATCATGACTACATGCACAAAGCATAATCTCAAAGGCTTAAAAAAACTTTTCTATGATATTAGCATAATTACTATGATATTGGTAAACTTGCATTCCCTTAAATTAAATATGCATTTTATGGGATCCTCCTAAGTCCAATAATGCAAATTTATCATTCCTGAAGTTTTGAGGGCAAGACCCTAGTTTCACTTTTCTTTGAGGACCCCATACCTTTTTAGTTAGTGAGAAATGGCTAAGCTATGATGACAAAACTCCATCCTAAGTATTAGTCCAAAGTGAGTACCCCAGGTTGGTGGGTAAGTTCCATCACTCCTGCGGTTCCATCACTCACTGTTGTGTCAGCTGGTTCACCGCCACACCCAGGCTCTAGCCGGTGGGAGGAGCAGAGGAGGCTCCCTGCTGTCTCGAAGGCCCTGGCCCAGAATTAGACACCCACCACTTCTTCCCACATTCCACTGGTGACAAACCGTGTTGCCACCCCTAACTGTGAGCTGGGAAATGCCACATGCACAGTTACACCTCCATTTCTGGGAAAGAAGGAGATAATAAATTTCACTGAGTTGTTTCTGCTGCCCACAGTATCTACCACATAACAGGCTCCTAAATATTTCTACAATCAAAAAGAGATATGCATATAAGTGGCTATTGATCAAAGTTTAAGCTTTTATCTTGTATTTGGAACATCTTACTCATGTTGTACTTTGACTTAAATTGAGCAAGGCAAGTTGTCTAGCAAGTACTCAGGGATTTTTAAATTACTTACACTGTTTTAAAAAATGTATCACTCTAGAACTACAGAATTAAGATAAGTTCTGTTTTATAGACAGAAAGCCGAGCAGGCAGAATTGTAACGACTCTGCTTTTCATGCCTGTACAAGCATGGACAAGCATGCCCCGCTTCCCTAGCCCTAGGGGCTGCCAGTGGTATTGTCTGGTTTGCGCCAAGAAGAAATCAGACGCTTCCAAAAAATGGCTTTGCAAAATCAACCTCTGCTCACCCAGGGGCTCTCTTGCCTCCCCAGAGGCGTCTGCGAATGTGGCAGGGGACTGGCTTGGATTGCTCAGTCTCTGGGATGTGCTGCCTGAGGACAAGGAGAGCAAATGTTTGGCCAAGCCCAGGACAGCAGCACAGAATCGGCCTGTTCAAAATGCCAGCGGCCCCCCTGCTGGCCCACAGTTAGACTGTCACCCTCCCCTTTCTGCGTGTCAGCAAATTTTACATTTCCATCTTCTGTACCCCAACAGCTCATCTAAACGAAAGAAGTGCTCGTTTTTAAAATGGTTTTGCCCATTGTTGTCCTTGTTTTTCAGAATGTAAGGCGGGACTCAACCCGATATTTGAAGCACAGCTGTGCTTGGCAGTCCCAGAACTGGTTTTCTCCCCATCCCTGGAGTTTGGAGTGAAGGGTGGCTTCTATGACATGGTTGAGGGGCTTGTCACCAGCATTTTTAGAATATCATCTTTGGTGCCACGGCTTTCCCCACAGAACAGCTCTCCTCACTATCAGGTATAGGATCTGCGCCCACCCTGCCTTCCAGCCAGCTCGGGGCCTCCTGCAAGCGCTGGTGTGACGCCTGCTGTGGTCTCTCCCCAGGCTGACATGGAGGGCCTGGCCGACTTGGCGAGGATGCGGAGCGTGCTCATGGAGAGAGCACAGAGCATGATGGCCCTGTGCTGCAGCTACCGAGACACCTTCAGCCAGTATTCCTACCTGTACGTGGAGGACCGGAGGGAGATCCTGGGTCAGTTTCTGCTGTATGGGCACGTCCCCACCCCTGAGGAGATCGAGGCCCACGAAGAAGACGGCATCCCGGAGAACCCGCCCCTCCTGCATCAATTCCAAGCCCAGATCGACTCCTATGAGCAGCTCTATGGAGAGGTGTGCAGGCTGGAGCCCGTCAAGGTGTTTGACAGCTGGATGAAGATCGACGTGCGGCCCTTCAAAGCGTCTCTGCTGAACATAATTAAGAGGTGGAGCCTCATGTTCAAGCAGCATCTTGTGGACTATGTCACTAACAGGTAACATGGTTGTCGCAGCTCTCCTCCAGCACCCCGGCTGTGGGGAGCACCTTGCTTCCAGTTGTCTTCGTTTTTCTGCCATGAGGTCATTGGTTATGTGGATTAAAACAGCTGGTTGGAGGTTCCAGGCTTTTGGTGATCGCTTTAGTCCTGCCCTTTCTTTTGTTCACCAGACGTGACCCCTTTTTGTTGTTTTCCATTTGGTGCAGAGGGTGTGAGAGGCGCTCAGTAAGGGGTGGATGATGCTCAATACAAGCCTAACAAATCCAACCTCCTGTCTCCACTCTTGACTGTGAAGCCTCGTTAAGCCTGAGGGGCAGAGGGGTCTAATGGGGCTCATATTTTATTTCTACCACTTACTCCTTGGTTCAGATCATACATGCAATGTGGAAGTCACGAAATCGCCACACTCCTGATGCCTGTGTCTGCCACTCTAGCCTTGCCACAGGTTGGCTCTGAAATTCTGTCTGTCCTGCTATGGACCTAGGCCTAGTATCAGACTCTCTACATCAGAGCATCACCCTCTAGATAAATAAGCAAGTTGGATAGCAGTCTGACAGTCACTTCACTATAGCCTTGTCCCCACAGATCCACCACAGAGTTTTAATTCCCACAGAATCCTGTGGGTGCCACAGTACCCCCATTCAGCCATCAGCCTTTGGTGCCAGCAGATGCTATAGGGCAGCTGACCTGACAGGCTGCCTCTTTATTATATTCTTTTATAATAAGACTAGAGGCCCAGTGCATGAAATTCGTGCACTGGTGGGAGGGGGGTGTCCCTCAGCCCAGCCTGCACCCTCTCCAATCTGGGACCCCTCGGGGGATGTCTGACTGCCCGTTTAGGCCTGATCCCACCAGGCAGTCAGACATTTCTCTCACAATCCAGGCCTGCTGGCTCCCAACCGCTCACCTGCCTGCCTGCCTGCCTGATTGCCCCTAACTGCTTCTGCCTACCAGCCTGATCGCCTCCTAATCACTCCCCTGCCAGCCTGATCAATGCCTAACTGCTCCCCTGCCAGCCCGATTGCCCCCAGCTGCCCTCCCCTGGTGGCCCAATCGCCCCCAACTGCCCTTCCCTGCCAGCTCAGTCACCCTCAACTGCTCTCCCCTGCTGGCCTGTTCGCCCCCAACTGCCCTCCCCTGCTGGCCATCTTATGGTGGCCATCTGTGACGACATGGGCATAGCCATCTTGTTACCACATGGGGGCGGCCATCTTGTGCAAGGATGTAATGATCAATTTGCATATTACCTCTTTATTATCCTATATAATATAGGCTAATCCTATATAGGATAATAAAGAGGTAATATGCAAATTGACCCTCACGCCCTCAAGATGGCTGCCTACGACCAGGCCGGCAGCAGGGTTAGTGAGGGATGACCAAACCACTGAACAGCAGGCTGCATGGGGCCTAAATCAGCAGTCAAACACCCCTCAAGGGGTTCCGGATTAGAGATGGTGCAGGCTGGGCTGAGGGGAACCCCCCATGCACGAATTTCGGGCACCAAGCCTCTAGTATATACATACAATGGGGCCTTGACTTACAAGTGTCCCAACTAACGAGTTTTTCGAGATATGAGCCGTCTCTCGGCCGATTTTTTGCTTTGAGTTGCGAGCTAAAATTTG